GAATGAATGATGATAAATGCGCAATGTTTTTTGTTCATAATTAATTTTTTTTATTGTTTCGTTTTTTTTTTTGCTTTGTTCCGGCTAAAAGTGCCATTAATGAAACGAACAGAGAGAGAGAGTCACGTTTTTTTGTAGGTCGGGAAAAAAACGGGGAGAATCTGAAAAAATGAATTCGAAAATCAACGAATTCAATACAACTTGGCCCAGAGAAATCGCCAACGAATCAAAAGGTTAAAGGGGGATAGGTAGCTTAAGTTCAATGGGATTGCACAATATTTATAAAAAATATATCATATTACATATGAGGAATTTTCTTTTAATTGTTTGTAAAAGAAAAAGTAGGTGACATCCTCGTAAAAGGGAAAAACCTATGCACTGAGAAAATCTAAAAGAATGCATAAGCCAATCGAGGAGATTCTCTAACGTGAACATTAAAAATATATTAAATAAATTTCACCTTTTAATAAACTAAACATTTTAGAGCGTAAACTAAACAATTAGCCCATCACCTATTTTTATTTTAACCTCTTTTACGCTTGACATTTATGCAAAATAAATAACAAACTCTAGTTAATATACAATTCCACCATATAAACTATAAAAATTTACAAAAAACTGAGAAACAAGTGTGAATTTTATATACTCTTGCAGGGTATTATAATTTTAGTAAGAAGCTTGTTATTCTGTGAAGGAATCATTTCCGACCCTATAAATCATATATATTCTTGATCAGCATCAACAGGCGAATCTTTCTAGCCATCTCTGGCAGAAAAAAAAATTTACAATTTTTTTTCAAATTTTTTTAAGGGGTTACATCGTTAAAATTTTAAAAATTTAATAAAAAATTAAATTTTTTTAAATTTTAAGCTGAGTATGCAGATTTCTTTATCTAATAAAAACTAGCATAGAAAAGGTTACCGAATTGAAATTAGTGCATTTTTGGCTAAGTTATGAGTGTTTTAAGCTTTGATTTGTCGTAAAAATTGTCATATAAAAATATAAATAAATATCCATTCAAAGAATCTCAATATTTTAATATTAGTAATAATCAATTTCCGATACAATCCTATAATTCAATTGCAAATTGCTAGGGTATATAAACTTCGAACTTGCCGTAGCTAGTTTCCTGTATTGTTTAATATATAAATCACTCAAAAGGCCTGGGCCCCATCCAATTTCGAAGAGGATTCACACCTCAATACCTCTCCCCATCTGCTGTCATACTGTGGTGCCCATCATAAAGGCCCTTTCCCTTCTTGAGAGAATTTCCACATGCAAAAAGGGGGCCCAGGTGAGTGTGACAGAGTTATAGAGTTCGATGCGAACACGTATACCTGGCCGTTCAAGCATGGCAATCTGAGCGTGACGAATAATGATTTTACATCACTCCCGAAGAATGCAGAGAGTGGAGGGGATGGAAATTGGTGGGGAAACTTTAAAGCGAAGACAGTTTTTCTTTGAGCAAAAAATAAAAAATAGAGCAAAGAGAAGAGTGTGTGTCTCTGTGTGTTGAATGGATGAATTTGAAATTTGCATTTAGTTGGGCTTATTGAGTTTGCATCTGTATCTGTCGTGCTCATGGCTCTTTTAAAGAAAATCCAAAGACTAATTTCATTTGGCTGCAGTTTTGCCCAAAAGCAAAGAGAAGTCCTCATTGAAAGCTAAAAATGGGGGGGTAGGGCAAATTAAGAGGGTTGAGGGGGGACAAATGAAAGACAAATTTGACAAGTACACAGAAAGACAGCTCGGAATACTCTAATTATATGCAAAAAGATATCCATTTTTATTCACTTGCAGGGTGAAAATCGGTATACTATATAATATAACTGCCATAGAAACAATTGGTTAATGTAATCACTAAGTATCTATGACCAGTAAGTATCTATGATTAGTAATTATCTATAATCAGTAAGTGACTATGATCTGTAATTAACTATGAACACTAAGTAACTTTGAGCACTAAGTAACTATGATCAGTAATTAACTATGAGCAGTAAGTAACTCTGAACAGTAAGTATCTGGGCCCAGTAAGTATCTGTGACCAGTAAGTAACTATTATCAGTAAGTATCTATGACCAGTAAATATCTATGACCAGTAATTAACTATGATCAATAAGTATCTATGACAAGTAAGTAACTCTGAACAGTAAGTATCTATGACTAGTAAGTATGTATGATCACTTACTAAATTTGAACACTAGTAAACAATGACTTGCAACTTTGTAACACAACACATATCTGAGACCTGGCTGGTAGAAGGCACTTCGTTCCGGGGATGTTAGAACTGGTTGGGAATCATATGCACAGATGAGCGGGATTTGTTTTGGAACAAATTTAAGCCATTTCAATGAAACTATGGAGTTCTTCTTCTATCTAATTTTACTTGTATATAAGTCGAAGCATGGCGAATCGGTGGACTATATATATATACATATATATATACATAGCTGCCATAGGAACGATCGGGAAATTTCAAGAAAAAACAATTATAACTTTTCCAGTTTTCAAAAGCTTTTCATCAAATTTGATATATATTATTATATATAAATCTAAAACTTTGTGTTAAACTTTATTAAAATCGGACCACTATATCATATAGGTGCCATACAAACGATCGTCAAAAATGAGGAAAATGCAAAACGGTGAATGAATTAAAAGCAGGCATTACTTTACTGTTTTTTTAACATAAATATATTAAATTTATGATGTATCAATTCCTAGTGGTCGAATTTCAAAGTGCAAGGGTATACAAACTTCGGCTTGCCGAAGTTAGCTTCCTTTCTTGTTCTATAATATTTTGCTTGTAAATATATAAAAATGAGTTTATATTTCAAGTGTACTTGTGATATGGGCACATACATGTAATATGGGCACTTGGACGGCAACACTTTTGGGCCACTTGTTTCTCGAAATTGAAAACCATGAGGCGCATTTAAAGAGATGAAGTGACAACTGGCATACTGATGACAACACACACACACACACACCCAACCCAAGGCGTCAGGGAGGGATTTACAATGAAGGGAGGGGCACTGTAAGTGTGTGGGGATCCTATAAATATAACAAGTGCCAAGAAATATGTACATAAATAAGCCACCAGCGGTTCGTACTGTGTGAGGCAGATGCAGATACAGTGGTCATTCGGTTTATACCCTTCGCAGGGTATTGTAACTTTGGTAAGAAGTATGCAAAGCAGTTAAGGAGTCTTTTTTGACCCTGTCTTGAGCAGCATTAAAAGCCGAGCCGATCTAGCCCCTCTGAATTAAACTTTATAGTTAGCCTTCTATTGTTTACATAGAAACTATCATTAAATGTAGAAGAAAATGTTGTTGGTATAGACGTTGGCTTATTATACCTTATAACATATATGTTTGTTTTTTTCTACCGTAGTTTGATATTCAAGTCTGTTCACAATTACTGGAGAAAAGATTATAAATTAACCTTAAGGATATCTAAAACTCAGAGTATTGATAGCTTCTAAAAGAAATTAAAAAATGTAGATATCTCATAATCTAGATTTTTAAAATATTGAAGGTGTATGTGAAAACAATGATTGTATACAATTCCAGCTTAGCTTAGATGGAAAAGGTATTCTTTCTTCGTTTTGTTTCTAAAACTATATGAATCAAGCCTGCCACCAGGAATTGAAGAGTATAGACTCTTCGGCAAGCCCCTGATGCTGTGCCTAATGTCTTATATTTATATTTTGGTGGGCGGTACCCCTGCTCAATTAAGAGTTGGTGATTATTGTTATAATACCACCAATAAAGGGTTTATTTAAATTCGCTTGCTACCCTTGCAGTTTCTCTTGAAGTTAAGTAAGATTTAAGCTAAGTTGGCCTTAGTGGAGCTCCACTGCAATGCTTTTGTTTGCTATCACTGTTTCAGTTTCTGTCGCTGCGTTTCTGTAATTCTGGATTTCTGGTTTTCAGCATTTTCTGCATTTTCTGCACTTCCCCAGCAGCTGCGACTAATTGTTGCTTTTGGCGGGGACAAAAAAAATATATATATATATGTGGAAACGGAGCCGCCGGAGGAGCCATGAAGAGCATCTGAGAAGAGTGGAAAATGGGGTTCAAAGGGGGCAAAATAGGAGCAGACAGGATGCGAAGGACTTGTTCGCGGACTGACTGTGAAAAGTGCAACAAACTTTTACAAAATAAAACGAAAATCTAGCCCAAAGGCAAAAGGCTGGGGGAGGAGCGTTCAATGGTGCTGGTTGGCAAAGGGGGCGTGGCAAATGATGCGCTTCTTTCTGCAACTTCGAATCACAAACACGCACACACCCATAAAAACAACCACAGCTGGAGAGACTCTCATGGACTCACACACATGGTGAAAAAGAGCGCGAAATGCAAAGGAAAAAAAGGAACTTCATTGAAATTGAAGCACTCTCATTAGGAAGAACAAAAGTTGCAGGACGAACGAGCAGGACAAGAACCAATACAGTAAAGGAGAACTTAAAAAAAAAGAAGGAAGCAACAGAATTAAACTTCCGATTTTGATTAAGGGAAAAGGAACTACAAACCAAAGAAGAAACACATATGGCACTATAATTAAATGGAAGTGCAAGAGCTTGCTTCGAATTCCCTTTGCTTTAGCTTTTGTAGAGCAGAGGTGGCCATGCAGAAAACCCAAGGATAGCTTTCTGATTTGATAAATTACCATTAACAACACTTATTCACTTTATAAATAACAAACAAATAAGGCTATTCCCCTACCGTTCGCTCAGTGCAGATCTCTTCTTCCGCTGTCTGTTCTCAGCCCCAAAATCAAGATCGTGTTTTGGGCTGAACTGTGTTGGTGCTTCTGATCACGATTACACCGTGTTCTTTCACACAGTTCCCGCAAATGTACACACGTCGCCAGGGACTCCTACATTCCCATTACAATTCGGAAAATTTGCCCTAATCAGAAGCCAGTAATCACTTGGACCAGCTTTGCAGATAACGGAAATTAAGGGTTATACAAATACATTAATTAAGCGGTATATTTACTTGATTTGTTGCTGTCGCTGCGGCGGGTTCATTAATCATTATTCTATCTGTGGGGAAAGCAATAACAAATACCGCTGGGTCGTCGTCGTTCTCCTCCAGCTATCCCGGTCGCGCGCTCTCTCACACTCTCTCCCTCTCTTATTATTGTTGCTGTTCCGTGTCACCAAAAAAAAGGAGTTGCTTTGTTGTTATTATGGTGCTCGCACTTGTTGTATTGTATCTTCACACAAATAAACAAACACAACAAGTTGCGCGCTCCGCGGGAATAGTAAACAAATGCAGAGCACTTGTTCTCGGTCACACACAACTCTATTGCACACACGTCGTTTCGGTTTTGCAACAATTCCGCGGAAAAAAAAACAAACTAGCGAAAAACACGTCCGATTTTTGTGTGGTGCTGTCAGTTGTATTTGTATCGTGATATCGTTGTTTGCCCAAATATCGGTATCGGTTGCGATAACTTTTAGTATTTTTTGAATATTTGTTTTGGTCACTCTGAATACCGACGGTATATTTATACACTGGTCACACAAACTTAAGATAGTTAACAGACTTTGGCGGGTAATATGAAAACAAGAGAGAGTTAAGAGAATTTTGCGATAGAATTTCAAAAATTGAGAGGGGTAACAGAATTTTGCGGGAAAAATTCAAAATATGAGAGAGAGGTTAACAGAATTTTGCGGATGAATTAAATAGAAAAGAGAGGGTTAACATTATTTTGTGGGTGAATTAAAAAAAAAAGAGGGGCTATCCTCTCAAGTTGGATGTTTGGTGCAATGCTGCCACTTCAGCTTTCAGCTTTTTCCGTTTTTTTTTTTTTATGTTACCATAATAAAGTGTACCAGTTTGTAAATATATATACATCTGAGTAAAAGAGTGTCACAAATTAATCATTTGGGGAACTTACAGTAATATAAGATATATCATCGATACGATATTTATAAAAATATCCGACAAACCTACATAAGCCACTCTATGTCTGGCATATTTAAAAAAATGCTCTTGAAGTTCGGAAACTAGCTTATGACCACTAGATAATAGCTTTTATTGGTTTGTTTGTTCACTTTGCTGGACAACGGAAGGAACAAATCAACTAATTTGTATCTCAAACCTACAAAGTCAGCCTCGAAACGCCGCAGCTGCGCCTGTTAATCTTTTGGACATTACTACCTGGTCGGAGTCGGGAGCCACGTCATGCATCGAAATAAAAATCAGATTCGGATTGGAGCGAAGTATCTAGCGGCTCGAACCTAAAATGCACGCGTTTAAAGTTGTTAGTAAGCTTCTGTTTTTGAACATATTGAGCTATTTTCCCACTATATCTAGCGTTTTACACCATTTTCTAGCTATGTTTTTAGCTTTTTGTGCACAAAATCTATCTTATACGGGTAGTCATGACCTAGCAACACTGGTGAAGCTGTCGAACAGAGTAACCGTTTGCTACAGAACTTGAAATACCATCGATGTTCTGCGGCACGGTGATACATCGATATCTCATATCGATACCACAGCACTTTCCTAGCCAGACATCTCAGTATTTTAGTCTTTTAGTATTATATGTATGTGCTTTTTTTACCCCGCACAATAAAGGTGAAAAACTTTGCTAGGTTGAAGTCTTGTCTAAATCGATAACATAGGACACTTAATCTCTTGTTCTCTGTTACAGGATTGAAACTTCACTATAAGCTACTGATGCCATAATTATAGACAATAAAGTTTAAAATTGAACGTGATGAAACATCGATCGTTAAACGTTCCCTGTTTAAATAGCCATAATATAAGGCGATTTTACTATATATAATTATAATATAATGTGTTGAACAAATAAATTAAAGAACTTACCGCATTTAGAATCACAAAATAAAAGTTCTCTATGTGGGCTTTATTAAATGGCTAGAACAGCCCCGCTGGCACAGCCTTTTGAATGAATTTCTTATAATCATTATCAAACTGCGATATCTGGCCGGGTTTTACGACTAGCAACAATTGTTGTTGTAATGATCAGTCACTACGTGAGTGCAAAATGCCAGACCCACTAATTATGCTATAAGTGGCGGGCAATTTATGGCTTCAAATTGATAACCGATAACAGAATCGATAACTGCAAGTGCAAAGTCACCATATTTACGTTGACTTCAAGTTTTCTTGTGAAATTTGCAAATTATACGAAAATTACAATATATTTAGCTAATTAGAAAGTGTGTGTAAGTCTCCAAAGTAAAGAAGGAAGTCAACTTACTCGGAAATTACACAAGTAAGGTTTATTCCATTGAAAACAAAAAAAAATCGTAATAAAAACCAGGCTTAAATACGGACCAGCACCTCGTAGTGCTCCAGACGCACCTCCTCGCCGCCGAAAGGTATGTAGATGCAGCCATGCGATGGATGGATCTTGCCCACACTGAGGCTGTCGCAATAGATGGCCCTGCCCACGTACAGGGACTCTCCGTCTACGTTCGGGCCGGAGGACAGGGCCCCGGGCACCACATTGCCATGGGAGGCGGGCACCCAGTGGAAGCCGGCTCCCGTTAGAACCTGAACATCCGTCAGCTCGTGCTCCGCTTGGCCATAGGCCGCGTAGGCCTTGCCCTTGGCCGGCACCACTTTGGCCGGCAGCAAGTCGCCGTTACGGAACACGCGTCCCACATAGATGGTGTCCCCATTGGAGTCGTGACCCGCCACCAGAGCGCCCTCTGGTATATTCGTGGCTGTGGTATCAATCCAGCGTTCCGGCTGGCTCAGCACCTCATACGAGAAGATCTTCACCTCATCGGAATCGTAGGGTATGTATAGGCAGCCGTGCGAGGGATGCACTTTGCCAACGGTAAGGCTGCCGGCATGGTAGCCCCGACCCGCATACAGATACTCTCCGTCGACATTCTGTCCCACCTTGACAGCTCCGGGCGGCACCTGGCCATTCTCCGCCGGCAGCCACTCGTAATTAAAACCGGACAGCACTTCATAGTTCTCCAGCTCGTGCTCCTCGCGGGCATAGGCCACATAGGCCTTGCCCTTATTGGGTATCACCTTGGCGGGCAGCATGTCGTTGTTGAAGAAGGCGCGTCCCACAAAGATCGTGTCGCCATCGGAATCGTGGCCAGCCACTACAGCATTTGGTGGCACGCTGCCGTGACTAAAGTGCATCCATCGGTGGTCTGTGAGTAATTTTAATTATACAAACTTATTATATATCTAAATATCCTTTTAGTTGTGCGGGTGTTACCATTACCTTGCATTTTTCAGTCCGTTCTCCAGCAACTCCGGCGTTTGACTGACTTGACGGCTGATTTAATGGTCTTTCCGTGTTTCCGCTTCGCCTTGGTACATGTAGATAAGAGCTTATCGATGCCCAGGCACCCGATAAGGGATCCCGGACAGGGCCGAGCCCAACCTCGGTTGACTCAGATCTTGTAAAGCTTCGCATTCTTACCCGCTGATTGGCCAAGTGTGGGAAAATTGGGTACTTTCATTTAGATACAGGGTGAGACCTGAAAACGTACATTGCCATTAATTATTATAGGTATTATTTAATTTTTAAAGCCTTCTTGCTCTTTGAAAACTCTCTACCTTAAAAATACGTTACTTAATGTATCTGTTAGTTTTGAGTTGCAACAAGACCTTCTTATGCAACTTATCTTCCTTTATGCTAAGGCACTCACTTGATCCTTTATTTGCTCTTTAGCCTTGAAGTTTCTGGTATCCAGTTTTCCGCTTTTCCCCGCTGTCCAGCTTGTCCTTTTTTCCACTCGTCCACGCACTCCACTTGTTTAGTGGTCGCCAGCTTTGCATTTGTTCTTTTCCTTTTGTTTTTCCCCCGCATTGTTGCTCTTCAATGATTTTTCCAGAATTTCCATTCATGTTTTTTTCGAGAGTGGTCGAGTGGATTGCCGTTGTTTTTGTATTTTTGTTGTATTTTCTTTACCCATTTACAACTATTTGAACGAGGAAGAGTGGAAAAAAATATAACTGGTCGGAAAAGTGGGAGTTTGTGAAATTGCCGTGGCATGTTTGCACCTGTTTACATGGGCTCCGTGCCACAGGTAAAAGGGGGCAAGTTTTGTACTCATAAGCTTTGCCCGGATGCCTTTGGGGGTAGCAGTATTTTCCTCAGCTTTTCCTTTACCTCCCAGCAAGCCAATTAGCAGCTGTTCAAGTAAATGACATTAATAATAAGGGTTTATTAGTAAAGGATGCACTTAGTCCTTCTTCGTAATGGCAATAATCTAAGTAATATCTTTAAGACGGAGTAGATATAGCAGCATCGTCAACTATTCTTTTCTCATAACAATCTTTTAAAAAGTATTAATACATAATTAAGCTTTGAAGGCTAATAATATTATTCTTAGCTCTTTCTCTCTTACTGGTTTTCCCATCTCTCGGCTCATTTTCCTTTTATTTTTAACCCTTTCCTTTAATCATTTCCACAGTAGCTCGAACTAAATTCCCGCTTTTGCGTAACCCCTTAACCCTTTGGTGCCCCAGTCCTCTATCTGACACGCTTTCCGCTCTCGATTCGCATCCGCTTGCCATGGGTCCACCTTTCAGTTATCGTTGTGCTCCTTTTGTGCCTAAAGGTAGTCCTTTTCTACACTGAAAATATGTTAGCCTGCTTGTAAAACGAATTAAACTAAGACCTAGGATTATTTTTAAGACTACATTATTATATTATTTAACAACCTTTTAATTGCTTAATTTTATTTCCAGTGTCCAGGCAGTTGCAGCAGCGGTTTCGCTTTTTGGCCACACAATGCGGCAGTTTTTCGAGGGTAAAGCCAATGGCCTACAGGAACCTAGAGGCCTTAAACAGGCAACCTGGGTGCATCCTGATTTTTGTGGGAATGGTAGGAGAAACACACACTCGCAGCTACACACATCGCTCTTGTCCAGTAGGAGAGAGATCGACGCATCGTCCGCCGCCGCCGGTCACTCACGTTACGTCTGCGGTTGCGACGAGTCTGGCGCTTGGGACTGCCCACCATCAGAACCCTCTACCCCTTTGGCTAATGGAACTCCCAACCACCGCTCCACCAACTAACTGAAAACAGCAACAATAACAACAAGAGACCTACCAAAAAGTGGGGCATTTCAGGGTACTTAATGTTGTGCATCGTGCACCCATGCACCACTTAAAGAAGCCGCAGCCTTTAAAGTCATCATTTAGTTGGAAAATAAATAAAAACAAGGATGGTGGCGAATGGGGAGGAAACGTGGAGCCCCTTAATGACCATCATTTGGTAATACGTAACCAGGGGACCAACTGCAGGGAGAGCTTAAAGTCTCATCAACGAGTCCCGGCAATTTCAATTGTTGCCCCCGGACAGGACACTTTGCAATTGGCATAACCAATGAAGCGTCTGAAATGGGGTTAAATAAGGGGTCACAGTTACACCGGAAACAGGATACTCGCCACAAATGAAAAGGAAAATATCTATAAATAAGTAAGTCTACGACTTGATTTTATATACAATGAATGGTAAGGAAAGTATGTTACAATTTTAAGCAGATTTATTATCTTTAAATATTTCTAACCTATTTCTTTTCCATTTTATTTTTCAGTGCTTCTGTGTTTGGGAAAACGTTAAACAGCTCAGTGCCCCGTGCGACCATTTTATAATTTCTGAAAAAGTTACGCTTTTGGCATGCCAGGAATTCTGCGGTTTTAATGTAACCACGCCCACCGACAGTGTGTGCCAAAGCCTCTTTTAAAATCATCATTCCCGAACACAAATGTTGTCCGCCATTCGCCCAACCGAATTAGTTGCAGGAAGCGGTAAAGGATTTTCGGTGAGTGCCCAGAATTCAAATCGAAGCCAGGAGTCAAAAGTCGAGAGAGTCGGGTCATTTGCGGGCACACATCAATTAGCAATGGCATCCAGGCCAAAGCCTCCCATAGTCAGAAATCGTGAAACATTAGTGAATGTTTCAGAGAACTTGTGGGTGGGTTTACGGGTAGCGCTCATAACTGAGTGGGGATTATATTACAGTTTAATAAGCTGTTATGAAGGTGTTTCCAAATGGTTTCTTAGAACTCAATTTAAAGGGGTTTCACTAAGCAATGCAAGAAGTTAGGCAAGAATTGGCCTAGAAATATATTAGGTTATTATCATTATTAATTATTTGCATAAGTTTAGTAAACATTGATATAATCTATATAATATCTTTGCTATTTCCACCTGACAAACCTTTGTTTATTTGCATTTATATTTCCCTATCTGTTAGTTAAAGCTTTCCTTTCCATTTTTAAATTCTTATATGTATAGTAATTTCCTTATTCAGAAAACCCATAACCCAGAGTCAGAAAATGCGCAAAAGTCCCAATCCCTTGGCGTCTCTACATTCCGACTAAATCACTCCATTGCGTTTTTCGAGGATCTCTAGTCCAATCTCGGCACAAAAGGGAACTTTTAATTATACATCGGCCCCGTTGGCTTTTGTGTGAGGTTGCATTGCACTTACTGGGGCTTTTCCGGGCATATCCTGCTATATCCTGGCAGCTACCATTTCCCGGCTCATTGCGAAACTTCAGCGCTCTCTCTCTCAACTTGAAAAGGAAGTTGCGGAAAGTGAAGTATAAAGCGGAGTGGAGCCGGGCAAGGATATGGCATTTTACAGCTTGATTTCCATTTGGCCATTGAGCTCATTGTTTGTACTCCAGCTCATTCTCTCTTTCTCTTTGGGCGCTTTTCACAGCGAAACTCAACTGGTGGCAATACACTGACAGAAAGTCATTAATGAGGGGTCTCTTAATATAGATTTTTTTGCTTTTTGTTGAATTACAATGTAAGGAAAGTGGGGTATCCTTGAGATACTTTTAGTTAAAGTTCTGAATTAGTTGTTTTGTAGTGTGCAAAGGAACAACGAATTTCACGCTTTCCTTGTAAGCTTCTAGATGTTATTATATCTTGGCAAATCTCCTGCCAGGGGAGAAGTTCTTCAATTTGGCTGTCGATTTGCCTGGGCACCAGTTGAATAGTTGGACTCCACCTCTACCTCCACCTCCGACTCATAACCCTCTTGTTAACCCTTTAACAACATCTGTGGCAATAAAAGACAAGTTTATTGCCGGTCCGCATGAATATTTGTCTTTGCCAACACCAACTTTCTCATCCCCAAGGAGCAATCGCAGGAATGTGTTTCATTGTTGTTTATTTCCTTCTTCAGCTTGGCTAGTTTGTAGTTGTTATTATTCAAAGGGAAAGTTCCACATAACACCAAAAAATAAAATAAAACATCAGATTAATACAGTTTATGTGGGATGAGGTTCCACTGGAATGGGTTATTATTGGTTGTGTGGAACACATGTGGCCCTAATGATGGCCTTTTGATGATTCCAATCTGTGTTAATCTAACTTTAAGGGGTCTCCTGCCAAGGACCTCGCCCGTTTTCTCCCCCAAAAAGTTGTTTTCACCAGAAAAAGTCATAATGATCGAGGGATTATAATCAAGGGAAGATCTATTCCCAAATTATAGAAAATAAAAGATTCTTTCCGTTACATTCTCTTTATTAATAATTATAAAAATATGTATATATATGAAAAAAAATGGATATATATGTTTACAAAGTCTTAAAGCTTTCCACTGAGCTCTTCATCAAATTCTGAAGTAGGAGGCGCGTCCGTGACATCCGCCCTCACCGAGTACTCTTCCTTGTTTACACTATAGTAAATGGTCAGATATTTTCCCGACTGAATCCTCATGGCAATGTAACCACTCTGTCCCATATCCTTGGCCATTCGTCGGTAGATCACATGTCCGCTGCTCAATACCACTCGCACCTCCTGTGATCCATCCTCGTTCATTCGGGCATTCTGCCTCTGAATCTGCACCAGCTGAGATCTCAATGGACCACCGCTTAAGCTGCCCCCACTGCCAATGGGTTTCAATCCCGGCAACTGGATCAATGGCTCACAGCGGCAACTTAGCTTCTGGGTTAGCGGACAGCTGCCCTGGGAACTGGGAGCAGGTTGGACTGGTGCTGCCACCACAGGAGTCACAGCACCCAGACCCAGATTGCCAAGATTCAGGCCGCCCAGGGTGCCAAAGCCCCCGTTCATGGAGCCCAGTCCCAAACCACTGATCAGATTGGGCAATCCTCCAACCAGAGTGCCAATGACAGGGATATTCTGACCAAATCCAGAAAACCAACCATTCTGGGGCTGTTGGCTCTGGGAATTCGAGCTGGAGGCCACCGGGGTCACCACAGTGATGGGTTGCAAAGGCTGCAGCTGCTGCAGAGGAGGAAGTGCTGGCAGGGGCTGCAGGGGCTGATTTACACCATCGAAGAAGATCGGAAAGTTGCCATTAGATCCAGCCAAGCTCGTTGGGGCGTTGTTCTGGGGAAAAATTAATGGGAAAGTGTAAAATAATTGTCTAGAAATTCTATTAATTCTATTTTAATTTCAGGTTTTTTATAGAAAATAATCAGGAACAAAAGGAGGTCCTTGTTCGAAACAAAAAGTGAGAAACTTGTTTAGTGAATAAAGGCGAGAGGCTTGAAGTGCTCTGTCTTAAGCTTTGGATGTTATTAATTACTGACATTTATTTATTTTTCTATTATGCAATCAGAATTTTCTGTTATTATAATTTAAACCTCTTACCAATTGACGCTTGTCACGTCTATCTAAGGTTTCCTTTGATTCTTCAGTAATTGTAACCATAGGCTTGGTTGTAGTTGTCGTTTTGGTTGTGGTTAAAGCCATGCCCGCAGCTATTAAAGCCATAAAAATAACCAAACTCAATTTAAGAGCCATGATTATTTGTAATTTTATTCAATAATCTGAGAGTACTATTTATTTATTAGTTTCTGATTATATTGAGTCTCGAGTCCCTTGTTTAGTTCTTAGCTGACTTGGCTCTGATTCGCTTTGATCTGCTAAAGATATCATCCTCTTCTTATATATGATTTTTTGTCGTCAAAATTTTATAATATTCTTCAGGGTTCTTGTTTTTTATTTTTGGTTCTTATTAGGGATTTTAGTACATGAAAGAAAACTGGATTTCTTTACACAAAACAAAGTGGGTCAGCATTTAAAAACGTACATTGGCTTAATTATTTATTGTATTTTTATATGGAACTGAAGAGTTTTGTAAACTTAACCTGATTATTAAAGAACATTAAGTTATACATATTGAAATCTGGTAAAGAAAGAACCTAAAACAAATGTCTTATAAAAATTTCTTTAATACAAATTACATTAATTTCCCAAAAATTGTACCATAAACTTGTTCGTTAAAGAGGCATGGCATTAAATCATGGCATATTCAAAGGCACATAGCCACGTAAATATATATATATATATATAGTAATATATACAGTTTCTTGACAAATTGCCTGGGGCTTGCCATGTCCAGTGGCAAAAATCAAATCAAATTAAATTTGTGCCAAAAAAATAAGGAAACTGAAAAAAAGAAGAAAAGAAACTTAAGCAGGGAAGCAGAAGTTTATATACCCTTGAAGGGTACAAAATATTCCCATTCTTTATATCAATATTTATGGATATTTTTAAATGACAATTTTGTGCTTAAATCAAAGTTTAAAAAACTCATAACTAAGCCAAAAATGGATTAATTTCAATTCGCAAAGCTGTTCTCTGCTAGTTTTTAATAGGTTATAAAATCTGCATACTCAATTTTAAATTTTAAAAAATTTAAAATTTTTTCAAAAATTTAACAAATTTTAACGATGCAACCCATTATAAAATTTGGAAAAAAATTTAAAAAAAATTGGTTCCTTCCAGAGATGGCTAGATCGATTCCACTTTTAATGCCGATCAGGAATATATATGATTTATAGGGTCGGAAATGACTCCTTCAGAGCGTTACAAGCTTCTGACTTAAATTAGAATACCCTGTAAGGGTATAAAAATCAAAATACAAAGCAAAGGGAAGCGGGGAGGTTGAAAGCCAGGCGACAAAAAATGTTTCGTTTGCATGGAAATTTCTGTGTGTGTGTGAGATTTTCAATTTTCCCAAAGAAAATGAAAGGAAGATGGAGAAAACTGAGAGCAAAGCAGGAAGTGGTGGAGTAAAGCTGAAGCTGTTTGACAGCCGCTTGCTGTTGCGGACTCATAAATCAAAAAAGTTTTTGACAAATTGCACATTGACGACGACGACGACGACGCCCTCTCGGTTCGGTTAAATAGAAATTGAATTAAATTAAGAATCTGGCTGGCCCTGAAAAATATACCTCTACCCACTTACACTTTAAAATCGAAGCAAAACGATGTCAAATGATTCAAACTCTGGGGGACCTGGGACCGGTTTGAGCTTTAAAAATAATACTTTACAGCGGCAAATATTTTTTATGACACATGACAGCGACAACGGAGACACAAAAACCGAAATGCAATAAAGGAGGGCAAAAGGCAGACGAAGAATCCTCATCAGCAGGAGGAGGAGCAGGAGCAGGAGCACGACTTGAGGATAACAAAAGGCTGCGTCATCAACAGCAGATGCACCAAAGTCCACCCACCACCACTCATCACCCTTGACCCCCGCGGAAAATCTCATTTATAAATGACGTTGTTAAAATTGCCCGAAAAGGGAGTAGAAAAAATATGACAGGACTGGCGAAAGATAGCTAGAAGGATCCGTCAGGACATCCAGCTCAATTAATATTATCTTCGTTGTCCAGTAAATTGCCAAACAAAAATAAGCACATATTTCTCCTTAACTAAGCCAATGAACTTCGATTACCCCCGAAACACTTTAATTAGCACCCCCAGAGAATGCCATATTAGCACTTAAATACCCTCAAAGACATTTACGAGCGAAGAGGGGAACCTTGCGGATTATAAAGTTAATCCTCTCCACTTACCTGCGTATATACATTTGCCGATTTTCATCATCTTTTTGGCATTACAAAATGCAGTTTAACCCCTTAAAGGGTAAAGGAGTCATGGAAATCTTATAGTTGGAACGAAATTTTGTAATTAGAATGTGATTAAAATTATTTAAAAATATTTACATGATAAATTGTTTTAAAAAGTATTAAATAAATCTAAAAACAGACTTATAAGTAAATATATTATTTTCAAAACCAACTGACAAGCATTTAAATTATATATTTCACTAAGCAAGTGTTCAGAAATCATCACGTAACTGGTATTTGTAAAAGCTTTTGTTATAGTTAAGTTATTTATATATTTTAAAAGACATTCTCAACAAGTTTAAGGACCTAAAAAGGTCTTTCATTTATTATAAATAAATTGTTTTTCTATATCTGAAGATATGAAATTACTCAGAATATATATTTAATAGGAAAGTATAAACCAAGCATAGGAGTTTTTTCTATGATTACCTAAAAACTGTGTTTAAAATTGTATTTATGTGACTTGCATTAATCTGATAATTTCTTTATTCGATTACAATAATAATTAACATTTTTGTATATATTTATTATTATTTTCCAGCCCGATTTAACTTAAAACTCAAGGGTTAAATGCCATAAGCAGCCTGGACGGATTATTATTGGCCCTTCCGCAACATCACCAAGTTCTCTTTGGTATTTGCGGCTCTTATTTGTATAACGGTATTATGCCAATGTGAATATAGCATTACACTGAACAAATTCAGCATCTAAAAGGTAAATAAGAATATTTTAGGTAAATAAATAAAATTCAAATAGGAAAACATAAACCAATGAAATGTTTCTTTATATTTTGCAGAGTTTGTAACATGTTTGAACTGCCATAATATATATTCTTCAGCAAATATCCAGATTTTAAGCTTTTGCAATATACTTGTCTCTGTGCAATCTGTTCCTGATGCCCAAAGTGCATCTGATTAAATCGATGATGACGATGATGGTGATGATGGCGATGCAGTCTGAATTCGAGCGCCTTTGAATCGTATAAATACAAGTCTGGCCTTTTGGCAAGCGAGCAAAAGCAAAAGGCGAGGAAAAGCGCCCGCAGTCATGTCAAAATCAAACAAAACCCAAATCCGTAGCAGGAGCAGGAGCCGTTGCTCGAGCTCGAACCGAAGCCGATGCCGTCTCTGGGCTGAGTTTGTTCTGCTTTTGCTGGCGACACTAATCCCGCTCCTGCAGGCCGGGATTGTTACGGATCCGGACACCAGCACCACCAGCACTATGAACCCGTATGCGGAGGAGTCCACAACCAAGGTGGGAGACGGGGGACCGAGACGCGTCGACTGCAAATTGACTTTCGATGCGGCGACAATGGACTCGTTAGGCTGCCACAATGATGAGCCTGTCGTCGCTGAGAAGCTGAGGGTGTTGCGCCCAGTTGCCGGCATGGGTAATAAGCCGGAGGAGAATCTGGGTCCAAAGGAAAATGCAGGCGAAAAGCCGGGGGTGCAAGAGCCACAGGATGGCTTGCAGCTGCAACGCCACTTGAAGGCACCGGACAGCCAGCCCATCTATGAATTACAATTGGTTGTTTGGCCGTCGGACATTGAGGATGGTGATGACTTCAGTCCGCCGCTGGCCACCACCACCACCAGCACCACCACCGGAAGAACAACAACCACAAGTACCACCAGTACCACCAGTACCACAAGTACCACCCCCAAAGCGCCCGAAGCCACTGGCAGCGTCTCACCTATTGAACAAATATGGCCATTGTACGAGGATCAATTGGTCGTATTTCCGCAAATGGACTTTGAAGAGGAGAATCTTGATTATTTCTTCGACGATTCGGGAAGTCCACCTAGCCCGGCACCAATACCAGCACCATCACCAGCTCCTACCACAACTCCTGCATCCACCAGTGTACATCCCACAGGCACACCCACCCCCACCCCCATTTATGTTGTGCAAAATTATCACGTCATACATCCCAATGGCACCGAGGAGTACAAGTGAGTGCCATCACTACATATATTATTTCTAATTGGCCCTGTATAAATTGGAAGCTTATTAGTTAAGCAATCCATGAGGCTGTATGTATATCTACTTGAACACTAATTAAAATTAAACTCTAAAACATAGCTAAGCTTAAAACAAACCTCTAATTTCTCCCCAAAATTCCAGGTTAGTCATGAGCAATGGCTTGGTAAACTACAAGAAGATCTACCGGAAAACCGTTGGTGATCAAGTGATTAATGTTCAGGAGGGCTACAACTCGGTGCCCATACCAGGACCCAAAAATCAAATCCAGACACAGTACTACATTGCCGATGAACGAGGCTACAATGTATATCGAAGTGAGTGTGCTTAGAGCCTTAAATAATCAATATGTTAATGGAAATAATATTCTGTTGCCTTTTCAGTTGAGAATACCTACCACCCGCAAGGAGTGCCCAAGCAGGAGACGCGGAATAAAATCAGAACTGCGGCTCATATATGAGCAAGGATGAGCAGGAAACCCAGAGACCAGGTACAGCAAGAAACTTCAAATAATAATATACATATATTGAATATTTTTTTCTTTTTTTTTAAACCTATAATTTAGTTGTCAATAAAAGTAAACTAAGCTCTAATGAATCTGATATACTTTCGTTATAAATGATTGATTCTTTGATGAATTAGACCCAATTCATGACAGGCTGTACCAAACATTTTGAATATCTGGAGGAGATCCACTGTCGCTATATAGATTTTTATGATTTTAATTAATGAAAAATTAGGCAATTTAAAGCACTTTGACGAATCCCCATTTTTGGGTTATTTGGAAATGTTTTATTGTATGCAAATTATAATTCATAGCGTAGCAATTTGAGGCACTGCCACAAATCCATACTTTATGGGTTACCCGGAATATTTCATTGTGTGAAAATTATCAATCGTAGCGCTTGTTTATTTTCTGGAAATACTCGAGTACTTTTTCTGGAAAAGCCTTCTCCAAATCCTCCATGGGCACAGCATCCATGCCGGGTCGTCCCTTCCATCTGACAAACATAACGATGTTCCCACCCGAACTAAAGCTGTGCATCACTCTCTCCAGCTCCAGGCCGCGACACAAGTCGATTTTATCCGCGTTCGATTTCTTCTTACAACCGGAATCATCTTGATCTTTACTCAACTTAAGTTTGACAAGATCGATGTCCTTCCTCTTGCTTTCCTTCATCTTCTTTTTGGGCGGTTCCGGTTCCGGTTCTGGACTGGCCGGCACAGAGATAACGCCGGAAGACTGTAACAATTTTGTTAGTATAATTTCAATGGGTAATGAAATCCGTCAAACCTTTGGTTCCAATCTGATATCTTGATTGCAAGTGGAACATTTTCTTTCAGAGCTAGACTCTGTATCACTGGAGTCCGTAAAATCCGAGAGCAATATTTCATTGACCCCTAGCACAAGGAACTCTCCGATTTCGTACTCTTCAAGAATCGACAGGCATGTGCCAAAGTTAACCAACGGCTCCCAGGTGCTCTCCGAGATGTGATGGCCGCACCATTTCACTAGCATTTCGACGATCCCGTGCATTAGTCTCTTCCCAATGATCCTTTCGACATATAATTCGTTGCAAAAGAGTTGTTCCTTGATTTCGCTGGCTTTGGCTTCAATATGAATGCCGAGCGCTTAGACAAATTCAATTTCTTAGACTGTACGCTCTTGCATTTGATTTTCATTTTGCTTTTCTGAATTGTATGTTGGTTAGCACGCATCGTTGTTTAAAGCGGAAAGGGAAGCTTGCTAGTGATGTGAAAAATCTAAGACAATATCAAATTTATCGATATCTTAGAATCGAATATCACGAAGCATCGGTGTTCTAATTATTAGTTTAAATAAAATGAATTTATTTACAGGGACTATAATGTCCTAGCTTCTAAACGAGTGACACATAAAATGTTATGCCCACAATATGATTTGTGGTGTTTTTTTCTTTTTATTATTCTGTTTGCCTGTCGCCCTTGGTGTGATGTTTTGCCTTCTTTGTTTTTGGCTTCTGGCAGGTCTGATTATTGTTGTTTTTGTTTTTCTTTGGGGTTTTCCAGTTTTCCGAACATTCAATGTTGTTGTCCTGCTGATTTCTATTCTATTTGCTGTTGCTTTCTCAATCGTAGTATCGCTGATTGCCATCATTGTTGTTGTTCACATTGCTGCTATACTGAGAGAAATATATATGTCATACTCCTGTAATTTATTCCAGAATAAAGAAAATATGTAAATATATTTAAATGATAAATTTAAATAAATATATAAAAGTATAACAAGGTCATTCTATTTGCCATTCTTCGTGATTTGTGGCTATCGCTGAAGCAACCCTGTACTTGTCGCGAAGCGCAGCCAACTTCACGCTCAGCTGGAGCGGCCATTTTGTTTTTTTACTTCTACACATTTGTACATAAAATTCCATGTAGTAGAAAATATCTTTCAGTGTGTATTGATGTTGTCGCACATGGAAAACCCTTTGGCAGTCGAGGGGGTTAAGCGTATGGTGATGCTGATGATGCCATTTAGATGCATATCAAAGTATTTCACTTTTGTCCAATCCTTGTGGCATTTTTGCATTTGTATTTATTTATTATTATTTTTGTTTGCCTTCCACTGCTGTTGCTTCCTGCTTTGTTGTTTCTTTCAATTGTAGTTTATGGCCTTCGCTGCCCCGAATTCCGTCCGATTTTCCCTTGATTTTCCTCGATTTTCCAAAACCCCTACCTCTTGGAGCCCCGGAGCCCTGTATTGTTGTTTATGCCGCAAAGTTTTCTTGGTCCTCGGGCGTCAGCCTGTTGGCAGCTGTGCAAAGTTTTTTGGGTCTTGGCTTATGATTATTTAAAGTCTTGTTCGACCCCATTTTATGTGTTTGCCCCGATCCCGATTTCGACCTGAATCCCCAATGCCAATGATTTCCACTAAAGATGTTCATATGTATTTAAGAAAGGTTGTTTTTCTGCAGAACAACAATTTCAGGGTTCTACAATTAAATCAAACACTAAATTTCCAGTCTTATCGAGTGTAACTGTTTTGCCCCATTTGCTGAAAATGAAGAAACTATCTTTACTGTGGGATACTAAAGGTGTCTCTTCTTACGTTGTCCTCCTTTAACCCTTTATTTAATTATTTATTCAACCAAAAATAATTTTTTCTTTTAAGAATTTACAGAAAATACAATTTAAAGCTTGAAAATAAAACAAGCTAAATATAAAATATTATTATATGTAATAATATAATAATTATTTTACATATTTTAATTCAGATAAGAACTAGTTCTTTTAAACTTTCGTTTGCAAACAAAAATAATCCAATACAAATATCGATTGAAAGTAGATAAGCCAATAAGAACTATCGCAAGACATAGGTATCGCTTAAAAATGCGCAGGCGCGGCCATTTTTACCTAGAAAATGGCCACTACCATAGCTTTAACAAGTAAAAATATGAGGGATTGTATAACTATTTCATTTTCCATGGTATCAATGGGTTAAGTTCAGATTTTCTGTTATTTTTTTGCAACGGCAGCTTCTTTATTTTCAACTTACCTTACCTGGCGTTCAGTTTCCAAGTTGTATATCCGTTCCGTGTCGTCTTGGTCGTCCGTCGTTAGCTTTACGGCCTTTGTAATTATCACTTTAATGAACTTTGCTAGTTTGATAGCGAACCACGCCAAAGGTATCCCACCTACCATGGAGCCAATGAGAGGAATGGCCCTGGTTGTGGGAACGAGAGAGGCGATGACCAAGGACGCTACGTGCAGAACTGCTATTTGGGCCCCTCCTCACCCCATTACCCACCCTCGTCGGCGCATTGTGTGCCTTTGGTTTTTATTAAGGAATAAAATTAGTGAGCGCGTGCCGGGAACGCCAAAAATGCCAGTTGCAGTTGCTCCTTGTCCTTGTGCCGCCTCAAGATCTTCCTTTTAGTCCCTTTTCCTCAGGGCCCCCAAGGAGAAAGCATTAAGGGAAACGGAAACAGAGAATGCTAAAGCCTCGGCTATAAAGACACCGAAAGAAATGATTTCAATTAAGCATTAATTTGCAATCATAGGAGGAAGTATTTCAATATTTTTATATGACATTTGTTGTGAAAAATCAATATTTAAAAAACTCCCAACTAAGCCAAAAAATCATTATTTTTATAATATTTTTTTACTATCGTTTGTATGTCAGCTATATGATATAGTAGTCCGATAAAATTATACACAAAATTCTAGATTAATATATAATGGCTATTTATGAAATTTGATGAAAATATGTTGAAAACTGGAAAAGTTTTAATTAATTTTTCTTAAAATTGTCCGATCGTTCCTATGCCAGTTATATATATGTATATATATAGTCCACCTATTTGCCATGCTCCAATTTATATACTAGTAAAATTATATAGAAGAAGAACTCCATAGTTTCATTCAATAGCCTGCTCTTTATTCCAAAACAAATCTCGCACGCCTGCGCATATGATTCCCAACTGGTTCTAACCTCCCCGGAACGAAGTGACTGCTGCTGGCCACGTCTTAGATATGTGTTGTGTTCCAAAAGTTGCAAGTCATTGTTTATTAGTGTTCAAAGTTAGGAACTGATCATACATACTTACTGTTCAGAGTTACTTACTGGTCATAGATACTTAGTGGTCATAGATACTTACTGTTCAGAGTTACTTACTGCTCATAGTTAAATAATTACTGATCATATGTAGTTCTATAAATCGTCCGATCGTTCCTATGACAACTATATATATGTATATATATAGTCCACCGATTCACCATGCTCCTATTTATATACTAGTAAAATTATATAGAAGAATAACTCTATAGTTTCAGTCAAATAGCTTACTCTTTATTCCAAAACAAATCTCGCACGCCTGTGCATATGATTCCCAACTGGTTCTAACCTCCCCGGAACGAAGTGACTGCTGCTGGCCACGTCTTAGATATGTGTTGTGTTCCAAAAGTTGCAAGTCATTGTTTATTAGTGTTCAAAGTTAGGAACTGATCATACATACTTACTGTTCAGAGTTACTTACTGGTCATAGATACTTAGTGGTCATAGATACTTACTGTTCAGAGTTACTTACTGCTCATAGTTAAATAATTACTGATCATATGTAGTTCTATAAATCGTCCGATCGTTCCTATGACAACTATATATATGTATATATATAGTCCACCGATTCACCATGCTCCTATTTATATACTAGTAAAATTATATAGAAGAATAACTCTATAGTTTCAGTCAAATAGCTTACTCTTTGTTCCAAAACAAATTTCGCGCACCTATGCATATGATTCCCAACTGGTTCTAACATCCCCGGAACGAAGTGACTGCTGCCGAACAAGTCTCAGAAATGTGTTGTGTTACAAAAGTTGCAAGTCATTGTTTATTAGTGTTCAAAGTTAGTAACTGATTATACTTACGTACACGTCATAGATACTTGCTGTTCATATATACTTCCTTGTCAAAGTTAATTAGTGATCATAGTTACTTACTGTTCATTGGTACTTACTGATCAAAGTTAATTAAGTTACTTATCATAGTTACTTAATGTTCATAGATAATTCTTAATCACAGTTTATTACTGATCATTGTTCTATAAATCGTCCGTTTGTTCCTATGTCAGCTATATATATCTATATATATAGTCCACCGATTCGCCATGCTCCAACTTATATAGTAGTAAAATTATATAGAAGAATAACTCCATAGTTTCATTCAAATAGCTTGCTCTTAATCGTGTTCCAAAACAAATCTCGCGTACTTATGATTCCCAACTGGTTCTAACATCCCCGGAACGAAGTGACTTCTGCCGGCCAGGTCTCAGAAATGTGTTGCGTTACAAAAGTTGCAAGTCATTGTTTATTAGTGTTCAAAGTTAGTAACTGAACATACATAAGTATGTACTGGTTATAGATACTTACTGTTCAGAGATACATATTGATCAAAGTTACTTAATGTTAATTGGTACTTACTGATCATAGTTACTTACTGGTCATAGATACTTACTGTTAAGAGTTGCTTACTGCTCATAGTTATTTCTGCTCATGATGCTCAATGATGTCAACTAAATGTATTAATTTAACAAATGGAAAACCAATTGCTGGCTTCTTAATCTGACTTATTTGTTTATTTTTTTTTATTTATTTATTTTAAGAAGTAATCTTAAAGTTTTTATATCGACAATATTCTCTGCAATTTTTCCCTTAAAAAGTATTGCAAATATTAAAAAGTATTGCAACTTTTTTTTTAAATATTTTTCATATAAACCTCTGAAAAAAGCATTGCTAAGAAGCCTTTTTTATGTATATGTATGTACATATGAAAATACAGCAATTAAAAAATATGATTAAAGAAACGAAATGCGCATTCCTTTAATTTTTGCTCTGCCGCATCAAAGTAAATAAAAGTTTCAATTAACGCCCGATTACACAGGGATCAAATTTAAATCATCCAAAATGCAACATTACATCATGCAACAAAAACAAATAAAACCCCAAAAGCTGTGAATGTGTGAACTGAAAAAAACATATTGGTTG